TGGCAGCGGAACGAGGGGGGGGGAAAGAGGGGTTGGGATTGTAGTTGGGACGGAGGGAAGCTGGAGGGGAAGGAGGCGCTGACGTGGTGGAAGTCGGCCGTCCACGTGTCACTGGTCCTTCCACCGGTTCAGGTACGGGAACCCTGTTACAACTTCTCCTTCGTCTAGATGATGAGTTTCAATGAACTTCTCACGCCGCCAGATGCACCGCGGTTCAAACACTTGGATGGCGGAGCGGTAGTGGATCGGCCTATAGGAGAACTGCAGTGGCTGGAGTCACGCCGGCGTCGCGGTTACAAAGGAGAAAGGCGCCAGCTTGGATGTCGGATGTATCCGGTTGCCTTGATGGACCAGGTGCAAATGCAGGGATGGGGATGGCTATCCACAATTGTGGGATAGAGAGAGGGGGAGGGAGGGAGGGAGGAGAGGTTCGAAACCCACTCCGATACCAATGTGACGCACGTGCGGAGGGCACGTGCGGAGATGGTGAGAGAGAGAGAGAGAGAAAGGAGATGGACACACACAAGAAGCAGCAGCTGAGTGAAGGTCCAGTCCGGCTCAATGGAAGGACGAATGAACAACTAAAAGAACCAACCTCCCGCCCTGGGCCTAGGCCGAAGTGATATACCGGCCTAGGTCCCGGTTCGGAGCAACCTGGTACCGGACCAGGGTCAGGCCGATGGCCTGAAACTGGTCCGGCCTCACTGTCGGGCCGTAGGGGTACCGCTACAAGGTAGGTCTCTCGGTTAGCCCTCAGCCAAACAAAATTACCAACTTAACCTACCACTGTTACTGTACAGCCTCGCAGTTAGTCTCAACAGTTGAAACCAGCAAGTCATTGCACTAGACTAGGGTCAGTCATAAGTTTGATTTTGTCCGTCAGAATTCAATTTTGTCAGTCCCTGGTAAATCGCAATTCAGTATTCAGTCAATGTCTGAAATCGCATATCCAGGGTATGGCATACAGGGTCATCCCGTGGTGAGGTCTGTAGGGTAGGTCTAAAATTAGGGTAACCTGTAAATCGCTGCATCTTGGTCATCATTGGGCACCTGTCTAGCCCTAATTAGTCACTCTGTCTAATTGCTAATCAACACTAATCAGTCCAAGACTGCATCCTGTCAGCTGTAGATGCAGAATTTGCAATTATTGCATGCAATTGAAGTGTCAGGCCAGTGATGGGGAAATCGTGAATTGGATTTTTGCCTGAGTGGACTCTAAACTGACCCTGACCCTCAAGCGGTCTGCTGAGACTGAGCACTCACTTGCTCAGACTAACCAACCTTCTCTCTCCAG